TTATTTCTCAGGACTCAAGCCTTTCGCAAATTAGTTCTTGTAGGTCCTCTGCTTAGAATTAAATGACTAAGGTAAGTGACTGGGGATATTTAAATATCAAATGTACTTTCGGGTTTTAGCTTGCTAGTGAGCCACCTCTGCATGGTCACCACCATGCTGATTTCATGCACACATGCCATCAGACCGGCGAGACGACAATGATGGCAGAAGGTGGAGGAGCGTTGTTTCCACACCGACAAGGCCCGCCAGATGCTGCCAGCTTCCTCATCGCGGTTCTGCCTTGCTTTTGGGCTAATGACTTGTGTTCCCACAGGTCAGCATTTTACTCCTGAAGGCACTTGCAAAAGCTAGCTGGCTTCATAAAGGTTTCCCATCCATTTAAAGTGTCAACAACTTCAGAATGGCTGGACATGAGCTTAGGGAGACTACCTGCAAAACTCTTATTCAACCTTCAAGTCCCATTTCTTGTCTACTCCCATCTAATTTACATAAATCTGTGACACTGTAAGTTTTTTTTTAAACCTGCCAATTCGGCTGGGTGGGAAGAGGCATTATCTAATTTAGCACACCATTCCCAGATTCCAGTGCCATTCTTGATAAATTTTGTCATAGTCTGACCGGGCTGACAACACACCCAGACTCACATTAGTTCCTGTCATCAATATACATCACTGATAGTAGGAACAAAGGGACCCCCCCCAAAACAGGCACGTTTTAGAAGACAAACTTCCAAGACTCCAGGAGCACTTTCACCTAACATGATGTAAAACAAACATGATTTTCTGTTCTTACTTTGCACACTGGGCAACTGACCTGAAGGAAAAGGATGAAGAGCCATGAGTGGCTTTATAAAGTCCAGGCAAAAAAAAAAATCTCTGACTTTGTAAGCCAATTTTCTTTCTACTGCTAGCAGTGGAGGAACTGTCAGCATCCAGTTAGGCTTGGCGGTGTGGAACCCTGATGGAATCAGCCACCAGCTCCCTGCTTCATTATAAACACTTTCAAAGCCCCTGTTCTCCCGCGCTAGCATCTAGGTTCTAAGCCTGGGCTCGGCCACCTGCCCACCACTGACCCCATTCCTGCAGTCAGGGAGCTCTTGGTGCTGTCCCATTTTACATATCCTAAAAGGGAAGCTGCCAGAGTTCAAGTAAGTCGACCAAAGCCAAAGAGGCAGAGCCGGGTTTCAAACCCGGGCCCAGGAGCTCCGCGCTCTGCCTCTTCAAGCCACCCCCACATTGTGGGGCGCTGCCTGAACCCCGGGTTCCCCTTCCGGGGGTGAGGGCCCCGAGCCACCTCGGAGGTCGCTTCCTTTACGTCTGTCGGGGGGGGGGGTGGGGAGGGCGCCTCTTTAACCACCACCCCAAAGCGGGGGCTTACAGCGGGAGGTGTGCATGGGACCAATTTCGGGGTGAGCGGAAGGGACCAGCCTGGCCCGTAGAAGGGCCCCCCAGTGAGCTCTCCCTCCCTACGCACGCACCGCTAGGCCTCAAGGAGGCCTCACCGGCCCCCGGCTCCGGCCCCGCAGGCAAGCCTGACCCCCAACAATCCCCGGGAACTCGGGGTTCCGCCAGACAGAGGCACCGGGACTCGCCACCCTCTCGACCAGGTCGGACCCACTCGGAAACACTCACCCGCGGGCAGAAAAAGCGCCCGCAGCTCCGGCTTCGCTTCCCTTTGTCCCGCGCACGCCCCGCCCCTCGCGTCCGGAGCTTCCGCACTCGCACTTTCCACACTTTTCGTAATTTCTTTCTGGGCTCCACAGACTCGCTTAAAAAAAAAAAATAAACCTGCTTCCGAGTTCGCGGCGATGTTTAGTGGCGTCCAGGATATATATTTTTTTCAGGCCTGGTACGTTCCGCAAAGCTCCATGAATCAGGACCTTTAGCCCACCGGGCGCCGATTCGTCACGCCGAAGAAGGCGGAGGCGGCCGGATCCTGAGATAGGCCGGGCTCCGGCGGGCCGTGAGGGACCGGGGCGGGAGGAGGCGAGTGCTTCCCCGGGGCGCAGGCGACCGCAGCTTCGGCTTCCGACGCAGGAGTCGCTCTAGGGTGAGGCCGCGCGGACTCTGGCTCCGACCGCGGCCGCCCCCGCCGGGGCTTCCGGCTGTGTCGGCGTCGGTGTGAGCCGGAGGACCTCGGCTCGCGGCGCTTCTGGGGTCTCTGGGGTGCCTTGTGGGCTTAGCAGCCGCAGGTTTCCGAGTCGAGGGTGCTCGCGGGTCCTTGCCTCCCCTGAGCCGCCTTCGCCTCTGCGCCCCCCCACGTGCCGCCTCGGCTCCTCTGCCCTTTGGGATCTGGCTCAGCCGTGTCCTTGTGAGGCCCTGCAGGGTGTCCCCCGCCGCCTCAGTGCTCCACCTGCCTCTTACTAGTCCAGGGGACCTAAGCCCGTCTGTCCATCTGTGTGTGTCACCTCCAGTGGAGGTAGGAGGTATTGGGAATGAAGGTTCCGTGGCCTGCACTGGTCAGTCTTGCCAGTGGCCCGTGCCTGCTAAAAGGCCTTGACCCCTGACCAGATGCACAAAATACGAGGCAGCTTTCTGGTCTACTCCAGCTAGGGTTCCGATCTACCAAATAATGAGGATGTTTGTTTCCTGGAGCAGGTAGCTGAGGTGTTAGGGCCTCGCCCAGTTGGTGAGCCGTATTGCTAGCTGGTGACCCAGCAGGGACAACTGGAATCACTGTCTACCCCTCCTGTATGAAAGAGAGTCAAGACAGTATGGGGGTGGGGGTGGGGTAGGGGAGACCAAAGAAGTCTGTAGGGGCTAAGGGACAGTCTGAGAGGTGTTTTAGATGATGTCACGTTTGCACAGGAAAGCATTAAAAGATGGATGGAAATTGCTGGAAGGGCCTAATCGGGGCTCCAGCTTTGGCTGTTTGGGCCTGGTTTCACCCCTGCCTTTGAGGTTTCCTGGGGAGGACTGGACCAGGGCAGTTGGAACATGCTTGGTTGTGGCATCTCTAGATGCAGGAGGCCTCTGAGGAAAAGCTGCAGTCTTGCCTGCTGGGAACCATACTTCCTGCAGGGGGCAGAGGGTGGTGGTAGCAGGGGGCAGGCAGGGAGGGAGGGCTTGAAGGGGAGCTGTGATATTGGTGCTCTAGCTCACCTGGGTTTTACTCGAAGGTCACCTTTTTACAAGGTGTCTCAGACCCACTTGAAGTGCCAGCCCATTCTTGGACCAACCCTCCACTCTCTGTTCACGGCCATGCTGTTTGTGTAGCTCTTGGTCCCGCCCAGCACCCCATTCATTTTGCCTTCATATGTGGTTTGCTGTCTGCACAGCATGCATGCTGCTAGAGGCAGGGACTTTCAGCATCATCAGTGGTGCAGGTTCCTTTGTGTGCCCTTTATTTACACAATCAATACGTGTATGACTCGTTCCTGGCTTAGGTCTTCAAGTCCTACAAATGTAAAACCTTAAGAAAGGAATCAAGTAGGCAGCAGAGACTAGCTGATCCTGAAGATTTTAAAACTGAAGAATGAAGTACCCAGCACACCAAACTCTTACCTATACTGAGTTTTTTTCTCCTTAAAATGCCAGATTGGGGCCGGGCATGATAGCCTAGTAGTTAAAGTCCTCACCTTGAACGTGCTGGGATCCCATATGGGTGCTGGTTCTACTTCCCATCCAGCTCCCTGCTTGTGGCCTGGGAATGCAGTCGAGGACGGCCCAAAGCCTTGGGATCCTGCACCCATGTGGGAGATCTGGAAGAAGCTCCTGGCTCCTGGCTACAGATTGGCTCAGCTCCAGCCATTGCAGCCGCTTGGGGAGTTAACCATCAGACGGAAGACAGAAGATCTTCCTCTCTGTTTCTTCTCCTCTCTGTATATCTGCCTTTCCAAGAAAAATAAATTTTAAAAATCTAAAAAAAAAAAAAAAGCCAGATCGAACAATCTTCCTGTCCAAGGGTGTTTGTGGAGCCCAGGAGACAGACTTGGGGAATCGTGGTTATTCCTAGACAATAACGATGGCAGTATTTATATAGCTGTTTAAAGTAAGGTAACTATGGTTACCATTGCCTTTCACACCGACCCAGTGGTAAACCCCAGAGAGTCGTGGGCCATAGGATTTGGATTTTCTTTCTGGCAATGCGATCCAGAGAACTGATGTGAGCTGTTTGTGTCCTTGACACTACTACTTACACATGCTTGGGGTTCTCCTCTCAGGACCGGAAGCCAGGGGCCTGCCTTATAACATGGCAGGTTAAGCTGCAGCATGTCCTGCTGGCATCCCATGTAAGCATTGGTTCAGGTCTCTGTTGCTCCACTTCTGATCCAGTTTCCTGCTGGTGTGCCAGGAAAGGCCATGAAAGATGGCGCATGTGCTTGGATCCCTGTTGCCCACTTGGGAGACTTATATGGAGTTTCTGCCTGGTCCAGTCCCAGTCATTGTGGGCATTTGGGGAGTGGACCAATGGATGGAACATATCTTTGTATCACTCCCTCTCGCTGACTCTGAATTTCAAATAAATAGATAAATCTTATCCAGAGAGACAAAGAAAGAGAAAGAGAGAAGCAAAGGCTAATAAGAGATTAAACTAGATTTCAAGCCCAGGTTTCTTGTGGTTGTTGTCTTGGTACTATGGGAAGAAACTGGTGAGCGGGACAGAATTAGGGGCAGAAAGAACTATGGAAAAGGAGAAGCAACATGGAGAAGATAGAGAAAAAGGAAAAACCTGAAGTTCTTGGACACCTGCTATTCCAGGAATTGGCTCTAGGAAGTCTGTAAGCCCTTTTCAGATTATATACAATTTTTATGTGCTTTTCTTTCCACATGGAGAGTTAGTAGTGGCATTAGATTTTCACAGGTCTATGATTCAGATTTTGAATAAATCATTAAGTCATTATGGCTTGTGTTTGTAGTATCTTTGAAGTTTTTTTTTTTTTTTTGCAAAAACTTACTTAATATTTAAAAGAGAAAGCACTTGTATCTGTTGGTTCATTTCCCAAATGGCTGCAGCAGCCAGGTTTTGTCAAGACAGATCTGGGTCAGGAACTCTATCTTGGTCTCCCAGGGAAGTGTTCAGGACTCAAGTACTTGGACCAGCACCTGCCAGGGTGCATATTAGCAGGAAGCTGGATCAAAAACAGAGCTTGGACTTGGAAGAAACCACTGGGATGCTGATGTCCAAGTGTAGGCTTAATGTGCTGCACCACCGTGGCCTCTTTGGATGTGGGTTTTTATATGGATTTCTCCCATTTTTGACAGGAAAAGGGAAAAGAGCTCTACCAAAGCCAATTAGGTCTAAAAGTCTGATTATAAGTAAAATGGTGATTTCTTTTTTTTGCATTTCGAAATTAGACAAATGTTTTCCCCATTTCTTGCGGCGGGGTTGAGGGGAGGGTATTCAGCTTTTATCGCCAGAAGTGGTTGTGCAATGCTGGAGCCCTGTGGTTCAGAGTGTTCTGTAGAATCCGAGAAATCCTGGAGGACTTGGTCTTATGGAATGGTTTGCTTCTTGCCATCCTCTCGGTTGCCCTCCAAATGACCTTGAGGATTTGTGAGATGAGTTCTGACCCAGGGTCTGGGGAGGGATGAATGTGCATGAATACGGCATGAACTGGAGAATACTAGATTTGTTACCCAGTGAGAGCATCAGGGGACTGGGCCAGCCTGGGCAAATCTGCGCCACCTCCTGTTCTTGTAAATAGGTTCTATCTGGATGTAGCCACACCCTTTCACTTATACATCACCATGGTTACTTGCAGCTACTTGGGCAGAGTTGCACACCCTAATTGCCTGAAATATTTGCCATCTGAACTTCTACAGAAAAATCTTGCCATTGTGGTCTACAGTAAGTATGTGATGGACACCTGGAAAGCCTGGTAGGTGTTTCACAACTTTTATTTGTAGTGATGTCTATGAACATTGGTAATCCATGTGTAGGCTGGCTTTAACTGACCAATTTAGGATTCTCTGTGAACAGGCTTTCGTTTGATTTCATGAGCTGACAAATTGAATAATGTAAATATGGCTATTAGTTAGCCAAAGTTTGACTTTGACCTAGATCATAGTAAATTTTCATGTACAATTTTCAAATCTAGGTGATTTTTTAAAAACTTATGATATTTAAGAATATTTAAAATAGCCTGTATTATTAAAAACAAATGAAAAGACAAATGATAAAACTTTTTAGTGAACCAATTCAAAATGCTTACATTTAGTATTAGTTGTATATTACCAAAAAATAAATTATCACAAAACTTAGTGCCTTAAATAGTATTTTTTATTAAGAGGACATTTTTGTACTTTAAAAACTACCAGAGTAGAACAAGTCACATTGGGTAACTTACTGGTAAAGAATAATTTTGGAGGACCACAAACTGAAGAATTAAACATTTTATCACCTGTTGTATTTAAAATTCTTTATCCTTGTCAACTATAAGTTTTGCAAATTTTTCATTCTCAGTGATAGTTTTCTCTCAAATAGTACTCTGTATTTGAGTATATGAATATTATTTCAAATGATTTTTAAGATAGGCATAGTCAGGAATCATTAGCAATCATCACCTTACCTTTTGTTTTTGAGTGTGAAAAATGAGTTCAGTCTATTTAAAGTGATTCTGTGTGGTGAAGGTTAATCTGTGACAGAGCCAGGCCTTGGATCTGGTTATTAGCAATTGGAATGAATCATTGGTTTTATGTTTGATTTGGGAAGCATGCATTGGAAATAATTTAGAGAGACTGAAGGATATTACTTTTTATCTTCAAAGAAAACAAAAATAATGCTATTCATTTTGTAAGATTACGTGGATTAGCGATTATACATAAGCCTGCTGAGCCCAGAGCCCAGAGCTTGAAGTGGCACTCTGAATGGTGGCTTCCTTATGGCTTCCTCAAATTATGGGATGATGTTGATTTTTAAAATTAGAATAAAATATCAACATACCACTCTTAATGAATGTTTCTTTTGTAAAACAAATTAAATACTATTACCTACCTACCATTATTATAGTTTTCTTTATTCCCCAAGAGAGCCAACCATATTGGAACAATTAATAATTTGTTTTGCTTAGCTATGCAGAGGTATCAGAACTGAAACATCTACATATCAAACTCAAATACAATATAGTTTTCGGTTCATGTTTCAATCTTTAAAATTGTAGCAGTATCATTTACTGTGGTAAATTCATATCCTAATTTTAAATGCCCCAAAGCAAATAAAACTTTGTTATAAATTCAAGTACTGTATTTTAAAGTATACATGTTAGACACACAGTAGCCACAGGCGGAATTACTGTAACAAGCAGGTGCATACACACATTCATGATGCCCAGCACTGCAGCGGGTGGCATTAGACACATTGCTCCTGTGGTCACCGATGAGGAGTACAGTTGCTTTAGTACAACAGCAATACAACTGCATTTCTAATGCTTCAGTAAGGTCAGTAACCTCTAACTGATATTGACTAAGATGTATTTATGTATAGAGTGTATTTTAGGGTCAGACGCTTATGCAAGAATAAGCACTTAACATGCTGTTGACAAAACAAAATCATCCCTTTTCACAAAATAGAATAAGTCAAACCAAAAGGAATCTGAAGTAATTAAAAGAAAATTTAAAACTGTGTATCTGTGTTAAACATGATTTAATATAGTTTGCCTCTGTTTAAAACAAGTTATTTTCCTGACATATCTGATATAGATATAGATACAGATATATCAGAGGGCGAGAGACAGGGAGATTTTAAAGGCTGTACACTAATGCCAACACAGCAGTAGCCCTTAGATGATACTTAAGCTGGAAAAAAGTTTGGTGAGTTATGCTCAAGCATTTTTTTCTTCTGCTTAGAAAAAAATCAGTAGCCTACAATTACCTATTTTTTTTCAAACAGGTATCTTTTAAGGTCTTAAATTATTGTTTAAAAAACTGGAACAGTATCTCCATTTATGCACAAATATATTTTCCATCCATATTGATTACAGTTCTAACAACTGAAAACCAATCTGGTATATACTTTTAGCTTAGATAACAATATTGTTATCTTAATGACATAAATGATTGTAAGGGATATTTATATAATACTTCACATAGTACCTTATCTGAAGCTCTTAGGAAATAACCTAGTCACATGTGACTTTACACATGGAAGAATGGGGATGCTAGGAGATCGGGGACCCTGTGGCTGTCGTAACTAGGGGTCCAGTTTATTTTCATGTTGGAGTTGTGCGTGTGTGTGCAGGTGCAGCAGGCCTGATTTCCTTTATCTTTCCTTCCTCCTTTTCCTCCCTCCTTCTCCTCTGTTTCTTTCCCAAGGTTCTCTGAATAAAGCAGTCATTCTGGAAATCAGATACTGATTACAAAAATCTTTTGAGATACAGCTGAACTTCATCTTGTTGGATCATCATGTCATGGGTTCGGTGGCTTATTCAGCATTGCTCAGGGAAAAGAATTCCTCCTCTGTTTCTCCTCATTCAAGGAAGAAGCCTGAGTGAGTGAATAGTGAGTCTCTCTTCTAAAGGTGGGTGTCCAATTACCCCCCGTTTTCGTTTTTCAGGTAGAACACATTTTTAAAACTTGCATCAGTCGTGGATCATGATAACTCATTGTGAATCTTAACATAATACAGTTCTATCCCAATCATTCTTTTCCTCACGTCAGTCAACTACTGAGTGTGGTTACAAGGATGTAATTAAGGTAGCATCCTACTAAAGTCCCTGATAAAATTTCAAGGGGGAAAAAAAACTATTTAGAGAATAAATAAAAATAGAAAATAAAGTGATATCTGGTTTTATTTTTAGGCTTCCCCTCTCAAGAAAAAAATCCATAAATGGATTCAGAGAATGTCCCTTACTGTATATATATTTTTCTCCTCTGAAGAGACCCACACATGGGGTAACATCACCCACATGTACTTAGTGGCTTACCATTTGGGACAGAAGGAGTTCAGCAGTGCCCACCTTGGTCCATGTGAATGTCACGTTCGAAGTGAGCCCCTGTGGTCTTGGGGTTAAGTGGTTGCGGACGGAGGCTTGATGGAGGGGATGCTGCAGGATCTCCTCATGATGAGCCTGACCTCGATATCCGGCAGGTTATCCTGCTGAGTCTGGAAGCAACCTTCATCTGTGGCTGCTAAGTGAAGATCAAATCGAAGAGAAACGGATTTTTTCCTTAACCGAGGGTTATCTTTAAAGAAAGAGCCTTCCCACTCTTTGATCATTTCGTCTACCTTCTCGGTCCTGAAATGAGAAAACAGGTTTTTCAATATGACAAATCAATTAAAAAAAAAAAAAGACCGGATGCATGCCCGGCAGAGTTATGAAAAAGAAACTGAAAAATTTACGAGATTTGTAGCTTACATACTTTAGGAATTGTGTGATTATAGTTTCTAAGGAATGCTATAGGACTCCTATCACATTCTCACATTTTGGTTAGGATTTTTAGAAAATTGGTGAACTGAGGATTGTTTCTGCTTTGGTTTGCATTTTACCTATGTGTTTATGTTGTCAGAATAAAACTCCTATAAAAGCAAAATTTGGAAATGATCTGATTGCAGTTAACTTCATTCTGTGGGTTTTCGGGGACTTGCGGGTCACAGTCGCTTCACTTACTGAATAGTGCCGTGCGCTTCCGTGCTCTCCTTCACGACATTTCCATCTAATGTCGCCTGTTTGCTCATGGTTTCCACATTTTCACTCTCATACTTTTGTGGGAGTTTTGTTGAGAAAGAGATTTCATTTATGATGGCTGTGAAATGTTATTAATAATATATTACATCATTGATGTACCGCTCCCAGAGAAGTTGTATGTCAAACTTTTATTCAGCTACTGCGAGGTGTTTCTATTTTAAAGCACTTATTTTACTTAAAATCCCAGAAATAGCAATTGAATGTTTTGGGTAAGTTTTTTTTTTTTTAATTTTATTTGTTTCTCTCTCTCTCTCTCTTTTGGTCAAGTGTTACTTCAGTCACTCACCTGAAGGTAAAACAAACCCCACTCTGCTTGTGCCAGGTTTTTGGTCTTTTTTCTCACCTTGGATACAACCATAATATCTGAAATCAGAGAGAATGTTATAGGAGTAACATTTCGGTGGACAAATAATTGAAACAAACAAGCACAGATAGATTGTATATGATGCAAGGAAATACCCTTTGACAATGCAAAGAAACAGTGCTACTGTGTTCCTTTGTGGAAGAATCTCCCGGGATAACATGGAGTGATAAAGAAAGTGACAGCTACTTTTACAAAGGTTGAAGGAACACAAAAACTTCATCCATTGCTTATAGGTACCTATTGCTGACTAGCAAAGAATCGAAGAATGAGCATCAAATTCAGGAGTCAGGTCAAGTAGGTGAAAGACTGGATTATGGGAAGTGGTCTAGCTGTTTGTGGAGTTTCAGTGACACTGGAAATATTTTACTTCTCAGTCTAGGGTAGTAGATACATGAGTTACTTGCTATAATTTGGTGGCTTCCTGTATAAGTTTAACAGAGCATTATAAAACATTTCAGGTTGTTAATTATAAGAATATCAAAGACTGATTCATCAATATATTGCTTGATTAGAAGTTAAAATTTACAGCTGATTATTTGTTTTAAATATATTTTTATGTGCATCATGAATGCTTAGCAATTAAAAAAGATTCAGAAACATATTTTATTTAGTTATATATGGTTCCATATATGCTATATCTAACTGTAACTATATGTTTACAAAGGACTTATGAGTGTGCATGGATTTCACAAGTTTTTTAACTAAAACATCTTTTGATGTCACTTTCCACATTTTCTAAAGTGCCCTGAGCTCAAATGCCAGATGTTGCTTTAAGCACTGTGTCAACACTAGCGGCTCGTCCCATCCTCACAGGAACCCTATGAAGGAGGCATAATTACTGTTCGCATTTTCCAGGTGAGAGTGTACAGACCTAGGGAAGTGAACGAGCTCGAGATCACTCAGTGAGGAAGGAGCATACTTTCTCTTTTTGCTTGTTTTTAAATTTTTTGAAGTGTTAGTGTATGCGAGGACTTTCTGCAGGCTTGTGTCACAGAATTCAAGGGAAAGCAAAGGTTTCTTGTTATGGAAACCAGGGGACTTGGTAGGTGCCTTGAGAGGACCTAGTCAGCGATTAGGGTACTGTGTGAACCAATACCTTTTCTTATCAGAACATTTGGAAGTCAAACCATGACTCCAAACAGTATCACTTTCCAGTGTGATACATTCATGTGATAATAATCATTGTGCTATCTGCTATATAATAGAGGGAGCTCGTGGTGCTGGCATGAGGGGTCCCAGGATAGTCCTTCAAGAAAGTGAGAAAGTCAAGCAAGGTCCAATCTGGTGGCAATTCAGTGCTCTCTGTGCTTAGTTCTGGCTGACTTTGGCCATGTGGTCCCAATCTTAGAAGGGTGGAAAGAGTGTCTGCCACGTTCTTGGCAACACACACACACACACACACACACACACACCCTGAGAGGGGCTGCACACACACCCACACCCACCCACCTGACAGTGCTGGGCCAGGACACCTCGGCGATGATGGATGTTTAATCTTCCCATTTGCATGGGCAAATGTCACTGCTCCCTCCACCCTAGCCACTAACTCTTAAGTAGGTACCTGATTTCCTCCCCTTCCAGGAGGCGGCGGTAGGTGGCAATCTCCTGTTCCAGCCTCATCTTGGTGTTGAGAAGCAGCTCGTGTGCCTGCAGCTGCCTCTCCACACCACGCCGGACCTCCTGCAGCTCTTTTTCCAGGCCTCCGATCACAGCCTCCAGGTCCTGCAGCTGCGTCTGGTGGTGCTGCTCACTGGCCTGCAGGGAGTTCTCAAGGCCCCGTTCCTGTTTGGTAGGGAACCTCATCAGTGACTCAGGGCATGAAATCTGACCTGCAGTGTCTCCCTCCAGTCTGTTGTGTGCTACTTTTCTTGCTGTCTAGCAGTTGGGACGCTGGTTAAGATGCTCTAGTTCCACATCAGTGTGCCTGGGTTTGATCCCTGGTTCTGGCTTTTGACTCGAGCAGTTCCTGGGAGGCAGCAGTGTTGGTTCACATGGTTGGGCTCCCACCAACCATGCGGGAGAACTGGTTTGGGTTCCTAGCCTCTTGCTTTGGCCTGGACCAGCCCTCTGCTATTGTGGGCATTTGGGAATGGACCACCAATGGAAGCTTTGTCTACATCTGCCTCTCAAATAAGTGCATTTTTAGAAATATCACAATAATGGATCTCACCTAGGCAAGAAATGTTCCCCAACAGCTTTACTTATGATCCGGTTAAGTACATAGATTTAAAAAAATCTGTATGTACTTAACCAGAAAGTTTGTTATAAATTTTTTCATTTTATTTAAAAAAAACCTTTAGTTTTTAACAGATTCATTATAGTTCATAGACACAATTCTATGAATCTAATTATATTTTCTTCCTCCGCCTCTCCTCCTGTCTCCCTTCTATCTTACCTCCATCTCTCCTTTGTTGTGTCTTTAATATTTGAAATCATATATTTTAAATTTACATTATAGTAAAAGGCTTACTGTTTCATCAAATAAGAAGTAGAGCAAGCAAAAGGCAAAAATAACAATTGGGAATATAGGAAATGACTATAAACAATAATTGAATGGAAAAAACCATCATTTGCCCATATACATTATAATTACTAACATTTTAAAGGAACCCGGTATTAATTCCTCTATAGTATGATTAACTTACTATCACTCTGATTTTTTTTTAAACATGGAAAATATAGTAGATTAGCTATCAGAGCCAGAGAAAGCTGCTTATAAGAGGTATTTTAGGGAAGTGCTTATAACTTTTTAAAAACGCTCAATAGCTTTAGTGAAGGATCCTCCTTCTGTTAAGCATTGAAATCCTGAACAAACTCTTTTTCCACCTCAGATGATCAGGGAAGCCCTGGGACATGCCAGCCAAACCCTGTGTGTTGGTCACACACAGGCACTGGACAGGAAACAGGGATGGGACCCAGCGGCCTTGGCTGTCAGCCTCTCATGGTGGGTGAATGGACACCATCCCTTTCCTGTTGCCAAGCAACACCTGGAGGGTGCAGGGCCAGCTGCTCGGAGAGGGCACTTACCACCGCGTGGAGAGACTCGATTTCCACCTGCAGGTGGTGCCACTGGCGTCGGGCTTCCTTGAGTTCTGCTTGAGCTGCCCTCAAGGCCTCCTCATCTTTGTCCATTTTCTTGTTTAGGTCTTCTTCTAACTGTAAGAGAGCCAACAGCAATGACAAGCAAAAGCAAGAGCGCTCTTGAAAATGAGATGTTTCAGAGCAATTACAAAGAGCAGAGGAATGAAATCATCTTTTCTTTGAATTGTTGGATTACAAGTGAGTATTCTGAGGCTTGATCACTGATGGTTGAACATGGGAGAAAGTCAGCTGGGTTCTCAACTTGGTTCCCCCATGTAAGATGATTTCATAGTCCTTCCCAGCAAGGACAACACATGAAATATGGAAAAGTATCTATTTTAGTGAAACCATTTGTAGTACTGGAATTTGTGATCTCTGCTTCTTAAGTTTCCATTATTTGTGGATCATTAAGGAGGAAAGATTGGATATTTACTCCCTGTTTTTTTAAAGGTCACTTTAAAATATATATATATATATATTTTATTTAGTTGAAAGGCAGAAGGACAGAGAGAGAGGGACAGATAGACCTAGAGACAGAGATTAGCCTTCTGTCTGTTGAGTCGCTCCCCAGATAGCTGCAATGGAGTAACCCTGGGAGCCAGAAACAGTCCAAGTGTCTCATGTGGCTGGCAGTAATCTAAACACCTGAGTCATCCTCTATTGCATGCCAGGGGGTGCGTGACCATGAAGCTACATCAGAAGTGAAGGTGGGATTCAACCTCAGGTGCCCTGATGTGGGATGTGGGATGACAGCAGGAGCACTGTGCCACAGCATCTACCCTCCCTGCCCCCACAGGTTCCTGTAGACAGGAGCAGGTAAATAGCTACATGTGTCAGGTTGATCAAGTCTGTGGGCAGGTGTGTGAACAGGGTGCAAATAGTGCTGGGAATTGCATTATTACAGCTTCTCACAGCGGTCTGAAGCTGAAGCTGTTGTTTTTCCAAAGTATGCCTGTGTTAATTAGAGAATGAAGTGATCACAGGCATTAAAGTTCTAAAATTGACTGTATTAAGACAATCCACTGTTGATTAGCCATTTTAGAAAGCACATTACTATTGTGTATCTGGGGTAGTAAGAAAAAAATGGCTTCATCTTAAGAAATGAGAATATTGGACAGCCACCACGTGCACGTGGTGAGCTGTCCCTGGGTCTGACTGGGCCCCGGGGGCTGCTCCCTTCGGGGTGAGTACACTGAGGGGTGAGGTCTCCATGACTGGGAAGGTCGGGGACCCAACTTCTGCCTTCATTGGGCGGTGAATGAGATTGGGGAGAGGCGCGACCTTGGGCCTGGGAGTTTAAACTTCCAGGAGCCTCCCGGCTGCTGGTGGGTCTCAGGATTGGGTGTCTCATGCCTGGATCCCAGACGACAGCCACCATGTGCACGTGGTGAACTGTCAGTGTACCATTTGGTGCCAGGCTCCGCCTGCTGGCCGCCTGGCCAGGGAGCTCTGGGGTTTTGTTTCTTTGAGTCACTGCTTAGTTAGCTCCAGGTTGAACTCACTGTGCTTCTAGGACGTGAAGCATTCGTAAAGATTCCCATTGGCAGTAACTCTTCCTTTGTAAAACTTATAATCACTAAACAGTGCTGACCACCAAATACCAGTCCATGCAAAAGCTAAGGCTTGGGGCTTGTCCTGCAGAATTATATCATGTTACCTGATATGATGATGGATCAGGAGAAGTGTCACATTAAGCAAGCCATTACATTAACTAGCACTCAAGAACCATAACCGGGGGTAAATTCTGTGGGATGTGTGGGCCAAACCCTGTGGAAATTCTAGCCCCACTGGTTAGCTTAAGAGTTGGGGTGGTGATGGACTAAGCTAGGTGTGACCAAGGAGCCTGCCATCAATCACAGGTAAAGGAACCGCCAATAGTCTGGACTGGTCAAGGCAGCAGCACCCGAATGTGCATCCTGAATAGGAAGTGGGGTAGGCCGGGCTGCAATACTCACCAGCTCATACAAGGCCAAATGGAAGGCCAGAATGTGCCGGGCACTGGTCTATACCCAATGGCATGTATGAGAACTGGGTCTGGGAGTGGATCAAGTGGAGGAACTTGGGAAACTCCCATAGAGAGTCATAGCTCCAACTGGTGAACATGTGGTCCAGACCTGGGGGTTTGAAAGGCTGGGCAAAGTAGCTCCAACAGCTGGCAAATGTGTCAACTGGTAATGGTACGGGGTAGATCAGGCAGGATTGAGCAAACCTTAGCCCACAAGCAAAACTAGAGACCAGGATGGAGCACAGGTCATGCCGAGCTAGGTTGTTACACCTACTGATCTGCGTGAGTCAGGGACGCTAAGACACAGTGTCTAAGGCAGAGGTCAGAACAGGTGAGGGGATGTGCCAAGCTGAGTCAGAGCAACCACTGGCATGCGCATGATCTATGGCTGGGAACAGGCCCGGTTGGGGAGCAAAGGGGACAACTCTAGCTGGGTTGAGGTTCCCACCAAGAACGTGTGACCTGGAATGGAGGCTGTGTTCTGATCTGGATACAGTTGTAGTCTCCCTTGGCACAAGTGTGGACTGAGATTGGATGGACCAAGCTGGGACAGATCCCAACACCCTCTGGTGTCCTTGAGGACTGGGATAGATGTGCGATGGACTAGGCTAGGTCTCAAACCCCTACTGAGCCATGTGTGAGCCATATGTGGATATGGACAAACCATGGCTGGGCTGAAACATCCAACAGCAAGAACCAGCTTGGGTTGAAGGCCAGTCAGGAAAAGCCACTGTTCCTGCTAGGACAGGAGGTGGACTGAGTAGGGCTGGCTCATGGACCCACTGGTAAGCGTGAAACCTGGCATTGGGAGAGGTTCTGATGGAGGAGCCTGGGCAACTCCTCTGGCAGGACACAGACCCTGCAGGTCAGTGCAAGAAACAGCCCAGAACAGGCCATGGAAAGTTTCCCACTTGCATACAATTGGCAGGGGTCGGAGGAAGACTGGGCTGAATCTGTCCACATCATCCACTGGCAAATCCAGGCACCAGAACAGTGTGGGTTGAGCCAGGTTCGGTCTCAACAAAGACTAGTACACAATACGGAATGCCAGGGTGAGGTTGCCTGTACCGGAAGGGACCACAGCACCCATCCAGCAAGCGTGAGAACAAGGAAGGGAGGGGTCAGAGCCAGCAGGGGAATAAGGGAGGGTTCCTTTGCTGGACAGCTACTCCCACTGGAGAGCATGAGCTGGGATGGGGGCAGACCAGACTAGGCAGGGCTACAACACCTGTGTGCCTCATGTGGATTAGATCAGGGAAAAGCCAGGTTGGGCTGATTATTCCTACTGGCGCAAACAAAATTAGAGTGGGTGAGGGTTGTTTGGGCTTAGCTGCAGCATCAGCTGGCAGAAGCTGGCACTGGGGGCTAGTTCTGTCAAGTCAAACCACAGAACTATCTGGAGAGTGCATAATCTGGGAGTGGGAGAGGCCTGGGAGGGAAATAGTGGGCTCCTCTCTCTTGGGTTACCACTTCCACGTGAGGGCATGAAAACTAGGACAGCGCCTGGGGTGGAATGGGGTGTGGGACAGAGTGGACTACTGCTGCACATACTGGCAAACCAGGGAAGGGGATGGGCCTGGTGGGGGTTTTTGCGGGTCGCTCTAACTAGGCTGCAGGTCCCACTGGTTCATGCGAGGGCTGAGTATGTGCTGGGCAGCACCAGGCTGGACTGCAACACCCATTGGTTCCAGTGGAAGTCAGGAGTGAAAACAGAACCAACTCAGCAATTGCAACCACCAGCTGATTGGGGCGATGGATTGTGCCAGGCCCTGTACTTGCTAGCACATACAAGAATCAGGTCCGAGAACACCTCAGACAAAGTTTCTTTGGGGATCTCCCCAATTGAAATTGCAGACTCAGAACCCTAACCAAGAAAAGATGGAAGACAGAACAGGTAAACCAACCATCTCAGCTATATCTTGGCAGTGAAAAACGGGGCAAACAGAAACTCTATGATGGACTGTGTCAATCAGTGGAATCCTCAAAGACCTCATAGTGCTTGGAGTGGCAAGATTGGCAGCGGTTCATAACTGTTGGAATGTCAAAACCACTTGAGCAAGAACCTCAGAGCATACCCTACATCCGGGACCTGGGGTGGGTGGGAAATTGGGTGGGCCATCTCCCTTAATACCCCCCTTTTAACATGAAGGAAACAATATGGAAAAAATAATTGTCTTACCCATTTTCCTGTAGCCCTTGAACCTTTTTACCCTAATTAACTATGGAAAGATTGTCAAAATAAAAAAAAAAAGAAATGAGAATATTTTAAAATGATTATCAAGTGTGTTTTTAATATTTATTTCTTTTTATTTGAAAGCAGGTTTTATAGGAAGAGGAGAGAGAGAGAGAGATTGTCCATACATTGGTTCATTCCCCAAATGGCTGTGCTGCTCTGAGCTAGGCCAGTTTGAAGCCAGGAGCCAGGAGCTTCTGGATTTCTCAAATGGGTACAGGGGCCCAAGACATAGAACCATCCTCCACTGCTTTCCCAGGCCACAGGCAAGTAGATGGCTTGGAAGTGAATCAGCCAGGACTTGAGCCAGTACTCATATGGGATGCTGGCGTTGCACACAGAGGACTCGTGTGCTATGCCACAGTGCTGAGTCCCCACCATTAAATGTTTTAATGCTGATGCAGGAATTAAAAGAATGTACTTGCAGGCAAAATTTTTGACATTTTGCCCCAAGAATAGCTGGACCAATACATACAGCTGATCAGTATTTTGAAACAAAAATAATATAACTTTTCTCAATGTGCTTATAAAAAGACATTAAAAAGTTATAAATTTAATTTGATCATATAGTATTTTTTTCTAGAAGGAAACTAGAACCAATGAAAATCTATGAATAAAATTAGGGACGAGATATTATAGGAAAAAAATTCATTTACTTGGGAGACCTGGGAAAAGCTCCTGGCTCCTGCCTTTGGTCAGGCCTTTATCTGGCAATGGTGGTCTTGTGGGGAGCGAACCATCAGATGGATGATCTTTCTGTCTTTCTTTCTCTCCTCCGCAGTTCTCTCAAATCAATAGATGAATCTTAAAAAAAAAAAATAAAATTTATACATGTCTTTTGGATTTCTTGTCACTTGGCAGCAAGCAACAGGTGCCAAGGAAGTTACAAGAGAATGCAGAAATTTTGAAACACTCTAACATGAATATGCTGGCATCTATTGAGCTTTTGGATTTGAGAATGAGATTAGCAGTTAGGCCCTGTGTAGTAGCTGGACTTCCAGGGTGACATCCCCCCACTCCCCGCAAGTGAATCACAGCTGCCCAAGCGCCTGTTCCTGTGTGGTTCCTCTCTGGGATCACCCTGGACTCACCTGTGTCTTGCTGTAACAGGTTAGCATGTGGCTGAAATGATACTGTGCCAGGGCTGTGCCTGGGTCTCAGGAAGTCCTGAAAACTTCCTTTCTATGCTTTTGTGGGCACTGGGACAACATGTAAAGAAGTTTGGATATTGGGGATGGTGTCATGATATAGTAGTCTAAACCTCTGCCTGTGGCATGGGCATCCCATATGGACACTGGTTTGAATCCCAGCTGTTCCAATTTCAGTCCAGATGCCTGCTGATGGCATGGGAGAGCAGCAGAGGATGGCCCAAGTCCTTGGGCCTCTGTACACACATGGGCGACCTGGAAGAAGCACCTGGCTCCTGGCTTCTTAAAGGCACTGTTCTGGCTGTTGCAACCATTTGTGGAATGAACCAGCAAATAGAAGGTATCTCTGTCTCTCTTTCCTTCTTCTCTCCTTCTCTCTACCTTTCAAATAAATAAAGATAAATAAATATTAAAGAAAAAGAAGGAGAAGAAGAAGGAGGAGGAGGAAAAGAAGGAGAAAAAGCAGCAGCAGCAGCTGGGATATCCTGATGGGGAAATAGGGCAGATGGGAGCAGGCCCCGGAGTGAGAGAGAAACAGGCCCAGCTATCTCTCCCATCCAAGCCAGTCTCCCAGCAGTTCCCCTATCTAGGGCCAATCACGAGTGAACCCCCTTGGCTCTTTCAGCCCAGTCATGGCCTAAGGTGACTGTGCTTCAGCCAGCATCACAGGTAGCGGGAGAGCCTGGTCAACCTGCTGAATCATGGGAGAGAATACAGAGGGTTATTTTAGTTCACTGTAGGGTATCTGTTAGGAGGGCAGTCGGTAACTGAAACTAATAATCTGATAGACTTTTAGTGAATTTATGCCAAATGACATTCTGTATTATGCATAAAAGATCACTAATGTAGTCTTTTGTTACAAAACACTCTAAACAAACCTGACTATAGCCTTACTCTTTCATTTGCATTTTTTCATTTCAGCATTGTGATTTACAAACTAAACTTGTATTTCTTCTATTGCAAAATAAAACGCTTATGTGGTTTCTCATTTTCAGAAATTGCCATCTGTTCTACGTCCTTCTCTTTGTAAAAGATGAGTCAACCATTCCGATACCTCAGTAAGACAACCCAGTGACTTTGCTTAATCTAGAATTCTTTATGAGGACTGAAGTGTTACCCAGAGCCAAAAGGTACAATATTCTTAAAAAGGAGCTGCTAATGGAATAAAGATCTATGATTTCCTAGCAATAAATATATATGTATACGTATATATATATACACATACACATACGCATATATGTAGATACATATATACACACATATATATATTTGACAAAGTTCTTAAGTAAACTTTTTGCTAGGTTTGGGTGCTTGAAATAAAGTTCAACTCAAATTTGACAAGTAGACCCATAATAACACCTTCAATTTCAGAATCTTTGCTTCTCAAATATTTGTGAATTTGTTTCTAAAGGCTTGAGACCTCAATTAATTGCTAATGGTGATGTTTGTCACTGTGAAAGTCTGTATGCTAGAATTTAGTTCGTCTGTAAACTGGCTTTCCTTTGCTTTAAAAATACTTCAATATTGCAAGCTTGTCATTGGAAGTAAATACTAATGCAAAAGGAAAAGCCTGTAAACTGAGGGGAGGGTCGTCACCAATTTCTGTTACCGTTTCTGAATGCCACATCCACACACTTGGTTGGCTTCTATTTGTAACAATCTAGGATAAAGCTGAACTCTTCAGAAAGATGATTAAAAAAAAAAAAACCTTTGAAATGTTCCTTAGCTTTATCTCCAGGAAACTGTGCATGCCCATCATGCTTTCTGTCTGTCATTGAAATCATCCCTATAAATAACCACATCCGATCACTCCCTGAAGGGTACCCGAGATGCTCCCTTGCTGGGGAACATCTTAGAAGAGGTTCCAGTAGGCACCATTTTGCTCTAGGCTGACCCCAGGTTTTATGGATGATAACAACCTCATCACTTAAATACAAATCGAATGCACCACTCAGCACCTCCTTCCGGACCATCAAACAGAACCGGCACAGCAGCTCCCCCCTGTCCCCTGGCCACACACACAGTGAGGCCGGAATCCCTTCCCCAGTAGGCGCTGCACTGAAAAGGAAATACTGTACCTCCGAGGGGCTGGGGCAGCAATGGGGCAGGCACTGCCTGTCTCCTGAGGTTGCAGGGTGCCTGTCTGTGAGAGGTCATTACCTGGATCCTGGTGGCCAGCACGGTCTCTATCTGATTGCTGGTGAGGAGCTTTTCATAGTTTGCCCTGATCTCATTGAGGAGCTGGGACAGTTCCATTCTTTTCCCATCCTCCACCTGGGCTAACTGAACCTCGCGGAGGGGCTGAGTCGCTGCGGCAGAGCCAGCCCTGCCTGCGTCTTTGGCGTCGTCGTCCTCAGCGGCGTCCGGAGAAGCCCCGAGCTCCACGGAGCCTTAAAGAGGCAGCGCTCCGTTTTCAGAGGCCCTGGGGGAAATTTCTGTGCTTTGAATCCATTCTTGAAACAGATGGTAAACTCCTTGCTCCTATCGTCGTGGAAATAAGAAGAGACAGATGCTCCAGGAAGGAAAAGAAAAAAAAAATCCAGCATTTCTGACAATAGTCTGTGAAAGGGAGCCCTTTAGGTAAAAGAAAAAAAAAAAAGGCTAATTCATTTTGTAAAAAGAAAATGGGGGCATAAAATAGAGAAAATTATGTTTCACTTCTCCCAAGATAACTGTGAGAATTTCTTTCACAGCTATTTTCACCATTTGGGTTCTTTAAAAACAAAGAGGGAGGTAGGTCATTAGATCATGCCATAAATCCTGACTATTGTGACAGTCATTAGAAAAAGTTCTTGTCTGATTAAGTGGGCCATTGTCATGAACTGCAGCCCTTTTCTCTCAAAAGCTCCTGGCAGGCTGACGGCCTGACAGCAGAGCTGGATGTGACTCTGAAGTTGTAGCACAGAGGAGGCTATGGCGACAGAGCCTGAGTGTATCCAGTTAATGCTTACAGTGCTTTTTTTTTTGTTGTTGTTGTTAACATTGTATTATGTGATACAGTTTTATAGGCACTGGGGATTCCCCCCACCCCTCCCATACCCCTCCCCCCATGGTGGATTCCTCCACCTTGTTGCATAACCACAGTTCAAGTTCAGTTGAGATTCGTTCCTTGCAAACACATATCTAGCATAAAGTCCTTTGAAAAACGGAAATAGGGGCTGGCATTGCGATACATAAGGTCAAGCCTCTGCTTGCATCACCAGCATCCCAAATTGCATTTCGACTTCTGGCTGCTCTACTTCCAAATCCAAGTCACTGCTAATGGCCTAGGAAAGCAGTGGAGGATTGCCCAAGTCCTTGGGCCCCTGCTCCTGCATGGGAGATCCAGAAGAAGCGCCTGGCTCCTGGCTTCATAATGGTACAACCTCGGCAGTTGTAGCTATCTGGGAAGTGGACCAGTGGATGGAAGAGTTCTCTCTCCATCTTGCTCATATAGTATATATATAAAACTGTATATACATAACTATATAACTATATATATATAAATCTTAGAAAAAGTAGAAGAAATTGAACCACATTGTCCTAGTGGAGCAGGGGTCCCTTCTTTGTGGAGCTATTTCTTCATTAAACATGCAGTCTATGTGACAACTCCCACTTGGGGTGACACTTATGCCACTGCTAACTTAAGAAAGGCACCTTGGAGGCCTGATACGGTGACCTAGCAGCTGAATCCTCACCTTGCAACCACCAGCGTCTCACATGAGCCCCAGTTCATGTTCTGGCTGCTCCACTTCCCATTCAGCCTCCTGCTTCTGGCAGAGGATGGCCCAAAGTCTTGGAACCTTGCACCTGTGCAGGAGACCCAGAAGAAGCTCCAGGCTCCTGGCCTTGGATCAGCCTAGCCCAGGCTGTTGTGGCTACTTGGGGAGTGAACCAGTAGATGGAAGCTCTTTCTGTCTCTCCTTCTCTCTGTAAATCTGCCTTATTTATTTATAAATAAATAAATAAATAAATAAATAAATATTTCAATAAAGAAAGGCACCTGGGCCCCTGTTGTCCTATCTGACCTCCACAACCCCCTGCCATTTTGTAGCCTGTAGAGATGAGAAGACACAGGCTAGTAGTTACACAAGGCTCACCACCTTCTGAGCAATGAGATGCAATGAGATGATGGTGTGATGGGGGTGGGGCAGAGCTCTGCCTGGTTCTAAGCACATCAGAGGAAGGGCACTGACTCTGAGGAGAGGTGATGGAGAAGAAGACTATGGAATCATTTCTTGGACTAGATAGTGAAGTTGTAGGGAGGCAGTGATGAGCTAGAGTGTCTGTGGCCATGGCCCAAGTGGAATTGTCCTGGTACAGAGGATTAATAGCTTTCTCTGGACAACCTGGATACATCTCTGTAGTGACCCCACTTGACATGTTGTAAGCTTTGTAGGGGCAGTCTGTCCTCAGTGCTCTCTTTAATAAACAGTACTGGGAAAGCTGAATTTGAATGCGAAAGAGAATGAAATCAGATCTTTGTCTTACCCCAGGAGCAAAAATCAATGCAGAATGGATAAGATCTGAAACCACAAGCCTCCGAGAAGACGTAGAGGAGGAAGAGCTCCTGGACATTTGCCTTGGCAATGATGGCTTTGGATACCATGCCAAAAGTCCTGGCTGCAAAAGCAGATAAAGTGTAAGACCACATCAAGCTCAGAAGCTTCTGCCCAGCAAAGAGATCCAAGAACGTGAAAAGGCAACCTACTGTCAGCAAAGAAAGATTCACAAAGCATGGATCTGATAAGGGACTAATACCTAGCACATAAACAAAGTCTTCCCACTCAGTAGCAGAAAACCAAATAAGTCATACTCCAAATTAAGAAATGGGAAAAGGATCTAAACAGACAAAAAAATGACCAGCACATATTGGGAAAAGTGCTCAGCACCACTTGAGATTGCCAGGGCAATGTCACCTCAGCTTTTAGGATGGTTCTTATCCAAACAATAAGAGACGGCAAGTGTTGACAATGAGCAAAGGGAAGACTGGAACACCGCGGATGGGAATGGGCAGCCATCGGGGAAAACAGTGTGGAGGTTCCTACAGAAATTAAAAACAGAACCACTAGGACAGGCCTTTGGGCCAAATGACTAAAATGTCACCATCCCCTCTCAGAGCACTGGGGTTCAATTTCTGGCTTCCTGAAAATGTGCACCCTGGGAAGTAGCAGTGGTGGCTCAAGTTGCTGGGTTCCTGCCAGCCACTTGGGAGGTTTGGATTGAGGTCTTGGCTGCTGGTTTTGATCTGACCCAGCCCCAACTATTGAGGTGAACCAGCTTCCTCTCAAAGTAAGTAAATAGATAAACCAAAAACTTACTGTGTGACTTAGAAAGTTTTCTTTTGTGTTTAGACCCAAGGGAGATGAAGTCAGCATCTTGTGAAGATTTCTGCATTCCTGTGTTCACGGCTGCATGGAGTCACAACAGCCAGGGAACTTACCTTCCTGTCAGAGTGGACAAATGAATAAAAGAAACGTGAGATATCATCATAGAAGTGAGTGCACTCTTTTTTTTAAGGTTATTTATTTATTTATTTATTTAATTACATATTGCATTATGTGACACAGTTTTATAGGCACTGGGATTCCCCCCACCCCTCCCCTAATCCTCCCCCCATGGTGGATTCCTCCATCTTGTTGCATTGCCACAGTGCAAGTTCAGTTGAGATTCCTTCATTGCAAACATATACTAAGTATAGAGTCCAGCATCTTATTGTCCAGATAAGTTTAACAGCTTCTTAGGGAGACCTTCTCTGGTCTGAAGGTAGAGCCGGCAGAGTATCATCCCGATCAATTAAAAGCTCCAACGTAACATCAGCAACAATTTATAATGTTATGGAATTAATTGACATAGTATTGAGTAACCAATATGTTAAAAATAAATGCAAGTTCTTAACCACATCCTGTGACTACTTCATTGACATTTCAATTTTAGTTTATATACAATGGGTTCTATACATCTTAAAATGGCTATAGATTACTATTCAGCTGACTTGTGTCTATTTTCATTATAATATTTAGCCTTTTATAGCATTGAAGCATAATTTTGCTGAACCTGGCTATTTTTTCGGGTAGTCTAGACTGGCTTATAACTCCAACAAGACATATGTCAACAGTTTAGTTGCAGAACAGTTTTAGGAAGGGTGTGCAGAGAAATCCTCAATGCCCTAGTGAGGAGTAACTAATATTTCATGTTTTCCTCACACCTTCTAGGGTGATGGAAGATTTCTCCCCTCTCCCACCCCATTACAGAATAGGGAATTAAAAGTATATTAGGTTTTACAATTCTTTGAAGTAGATCATAAGCAGTCTGACTCACTTTGATTGTTGGTTTGTTGGGTACTTCACAATATTTGATTGCATATGAAATAGGTTGTTTGAGATTGAGATAATATTACATTTTACAAGTGCTATTTTTCATATTGACATCATTTCATCTTAAATTAAGGCAAACGTATGGTATCTAACCTTTTGGGATTGGCTCATTTCCCTTAGCATTATGGTTTCCAGTTGGGCCCATTTTGCCACAAAGAACTACATTTTTTTTTTTTTAATAGCTGAGTAGTATTCCAAGGAGTAGATGATCCATAGCTTTCTTATCCAGTCTTCTGCTGATGAGCATTTTGGTTGCTTCCATGTTTTTGCAATTACTGATTGTGCTGCTATGAACATAGGGGTGCATGTTGGTTTCTTGTGTAACAGGTGTTTTGGATATATTCCTAGGAGTGCTATTGCTGCATCATATGGTATGCAGATTTTGAGATGTTTGAGTGTTCTCCATACTGATTTCCATAGAGGCTGTACCAACCTGCAGCCCCACCAGCAATGGAGTAGGATTCCCTTTTCCCCACATCCAGAAATGAGTGCACTCTTAAGAAGAAGCACCTGCCGTGTGCTACAGCATGGATGGACCTGGATCACACCATGCCATGTCAGAGAGAGCAGACCCAGGAATTAACATAGTGCATTTTATCACTACATGTGAAATCAAATACCAGGGCCAGGGCCAGAGGAGGGCCCGAGGGAGAGGACTCCCCAGTATAGCCTGCTCCAGACACAGGGAACTAGTATTTAGGAGGATGGGGTCTTGCTTCCCAAACTGTAACTTTGGGAAAGAGAAGAGAGCCCAGTAGGTTCTGGCTGCCTACTGAGCCTACTGGGATAGAGAATTAACAAGTGGACACCAGGGGGTAGTGATGAGCAGGCAATGGGCACAGGAAGGAGACCCAGGTTGGGTTCCTGGCTCATTGTTTCATCCTGGCCCATTGGCTTTTGTGGGCATTTGGGGTTAGCTAATAGATGGAAGATTTCTCTCTGTATCTTTCTGCTATTCAAGTAAAACAGAAATAAATAATGAGCAGAATTTTAAAAAAGAATTGATGTTTTGCCTTGAAGAAGAGAAATATTGAAAGGAAAGCAATGCATTAATTTGTATGTAATGTATTTGGGCATTTGACCATTTAAAATACTTAATCTTGTATACAGTGATGAAAAGCCTTAATTCATGAATGCACTCTCAATGTGGTGAGCCGTTTTTACTGATGGCACCACAAATTTAGATTTAAATGACTTTGTTTCTGGGTTGTAATGGACCTAAATCTCTTCTTTTGGCAGAAAAAATCCATCCAACTGATCTTCTAATTTTAGACAGTCATCTCATAGAGAATGGATGCTATTTAGTTTGCAAAATGCAGTTTGTATAGCAGCTTAGAATATTGTGACTCTTTTAATTGAGCATTCACTTTAATACGACTGTAGATGCATACTTAGCAAATAAAGGATTTTTTTTAACTTAAAAAAATTGATACGTGAGAAGTCTTTAATGAATTGGTCCCTTTTTTCTATATCATTGAATTTTTTTTTTATTTATGAGAGTATGTCTCTATATGATGTCTAATTTTGTATTTCAGGCATCACACAAGAGTACAATTGGACAAAGGTCTTTGAGTTTTGGGTTGGGATGCTTGTCAGCAGTTTTCAGCTTGTGTTTGGTGCTTGTGAGGAAAGCTTACACCCATCTCCATTTGTGCTGCTCATGCCTTTTGCATGGTGTGATTAAGCAAGGCACATCACACATGCAGTTTTGACCCTGGCAGGTACTGAATGCATTCTTAGCTGTAACTGAAGGATAAAAAGTGAGGCTACTTCGCTGATGAAAAATTTTGACTTTGGGTTCTGTGTTATTATTTTTTTTTTCTGGCATCATTCATGGTACTGCCACTTCCTCTCTGGTTTCCTGCAGTCCAACAGGCACAGATGCTTATGGTTGGAAAGGGCTCTGGCTAGAGGGTGAAGCTATATAGAATGGCAATTGCACATGGCTCCTATGTGTTACATAGCTCACATTATCTCATTAACTTTGCAAGCTATACGCATCTAACAAAATTGCTCAGAATTCAATTTCCTTTCTCTGGAGGATTAAAAAAAAGACTTTATTTTATTTGAAAGTCAGAGTTATAGATAGAGAGGGAAAAAACACGGAGAGATCTATTGTCTGTTTACTCCTCGAATGGCTGTTATGGCTGGTACTGGATTAGGCCAAAATTAGTAGGCAGGAGCTTCCTTTGGGCTTCCTACGATGATTATCCTCTGCTGCTTTTCCCAGAGCATTAACCGGAAACTGCATGGAAATCAAAGTAGCCAAGACAGGAACTGGTGCCTACATAGGATGTTGGCTTTACTCGCTATGCCACAGCCACAACACTGGCTCCTTGGAGGATTTTAATTAAGTCTCAGTCTTTGACATTATTGTACCTATGTAGAAACTGTGCCCCTGTCTACTAGTGCACTTGGGATACAGTGTTTATTCATCTTTTCTGATCTCTGGAGGAGAGATCTTTGTTGGGTCCTAAGAACCTTACCCCCCCTAACCTGACAGGTCTTTCATTAGCTCTTCCTGTCTCTGAAACACTCCACTGGTCCCCAAACCTACTCTTATTATGACATCGATCCTGGTGTCTTCTATTATTTGTTCCAGACCTGGTCTCAGCCACCGCCACCATCTTAGTTCATTCCAGAAAGTCTGAGCCTTTGCACATTTATTGATCCTATCTTCAATCCTATCTTGAACTTTCTGCCCTGCACACCAATTCTTAGCCTCCTGACACTGCTTAATATTGCCCAAACTGTCCCCTGAATGCCCTTGGAGTTCTTTCCTCCTGGGTTGTCTTTTTCCTTATGTTGTTTTGTAACCATGATTCATGCCTTCTAGCACACACATATCATTGGTTGAAGAGCCTTTCTCATTTGTTACTAAGCTTGCTGTTTTGAGATGACTGGCTATTCTGTCCTAAGAAATAGTACAGGGAACTCCCTCCAAATCCTGTCTCTACTTTCCCTAATGGTAACATTTGTAAAACTATGTTACAATTGGGGTGCAGGCATTGACACAGAGGAGGGACAGGAAATGCTATTGCCACACCCATCCCTCCTGTAGAGGGTCCTTTCTGAGTGTTGGCTGTGGGCGGTGGGCTGGGATTCCTGAGGGAGGTCAAAATGAGCCAGGCACTGACCTGCTGCAGCTGCTGCCATTCCAGGCAGAGAGTGGGCAGTGCCACAAGGGAGGTGTTCTTGAAGAGGACTTAGTGTTTTCACATAAAAGGGGAGATTATCCAGCCTTGGCAAGCAGTGATGTATTGATACATGCATGATGTACAGGTGCCTTGACTAGGTCACATAAGCCAAACAAGCCAGACACAAAAGATCCCACCTTAAGTGCTTTGATTTCTATGAAGCTTCCAGAGTAGGTTAACAAGTATTTGTACAGTGTATATGTGTGGATCCCTTTTCCTCTTTTTATTTCTTACTTATTTGAAAAGCAGAGTCTTACAGAGAAAGGTAACATGCAGAGGTCTTCCATGTACTGGTTTGCTCCTCAGTTGGCTGCAATAGCCAGGGATGGGTCAGTCAGAAGAAATGAAGCCAAGAACTCCATCTGGGTCTTCCATGTGTGTGGCAGGAGTGCAGATATGTGGGCCATCTTCAGCTGCTCTCTCAGAGGCACGAGCAGTGAGCTGGATCAGAGAAGAAGCAGCTGGTGCTGCAATCAGTGCTTAGGTATGGATTCCCAGTGTCATGGCTGTAGTCTGCTCTGCCATAGCACAAGACCAAGATAACTTTCTTTAAAAATGATTTATTTATATTTATTTTGGAAGAAGAGAGAAGAGCTCTTACATTTCTGGGTTCACTCCCCAAATGCCCACAATGGCCAGGCCTGGGTCGAGCCAAAGCAAGGAGCCAAGATCTCAGACCGGGTTTTCCACAGGGTGGCAGAGGTCCTAGTACTTGAGGATCTGCTTC